TTTTTTCTCGCCAAAGTTTCTGTTAATAGTAGATATATTCCTTGTTTCCTCAAATTAATCAAAACAGCAAACTTGGAAACAAACTAAGACCGAACGTTTTCGTGTGCAAATATCTTAGCATAACGCTCACTCTTTATTTTAAACTTTGCGCTTCACGTGGTTAAATTCTAGATATCTTGATTTCTTTCAGGCAAAGTTCGTCAGTTACAGGATCCACTACCACCTCTGTTCGTGCCTGTGAAGGCTGCTGCAACACCTCCAGCTGGACAGAACATACCATTCCTTAGAAAAGCTGTTCAGGCTAAGGCGATCACCGATGGTGTTCAAACAACGCCAGCTAACGCGTTTAGGAGGGCAGCAAAAGGTACAGAGAGTAACACACAAAACTACACCTTAAGGACGGTGCCTACTTTTGTTAGTGCGCACGCGTTCTGCGCATCACGCAGACTGTATTTTAGCTGAAACAGAGGAAGGCTGTCAAAGACGCTAAAATTGCTGTTGCAACGATTTTGTTATTAAAAACATACCAAAAATGGTTTTTATGTTACCATTTACCATGAAGTTTTCAGAACTCTATAAATGTGTTTGCTTTTCTGTATGTAAAGGCGAATTCTAAAGAAAGCTGTGAAGAAATATCCTCTCCTTCTATTTTCAGAAAAATGCTGATGTCAGCATTTTTGTTGAGATTCAAGGTTAATTATCTCGAAAAAAATGCATGGCTACCCTCTTTTTTCTTTGTGGATTCCGATAGCCCTTGCAAAGGTCTACTTTTTCCGCGAAGTCCTAACCTGGCGCAAAAACCTTTGTATTTAGTAGGCACCGTCCTTAATTAAGGCGTTAATTTAACTTTTGACTCCAAGATTACATCATGACATGTACCTATAGCTAACTGCATCATTTGTGCCAAAAAAAAAACTGGAAAACCGAATTAATATTTTTGTTCACTCCTAATCTTAAGCATTGCGCTACACTTGGTACAATTCTAGATATCTTGATTTCTTTCAGGCAAAGTTCGTCAGTTACAGCATCCTCCACCACNCAGCAGGACCGAACAGACCACCGTTTGGAAAAGCTGTTAAAACTAAGGCGGTAGATAGCATTCAAACAACGCCTGTAAACCCTTTCAGCAAGGCAGCAAAAGGTATGGAGAGCGACACACAGTACTATCCCTTAAGATTAATAGAGATTTGTACTCAAAATATTCAATTTTAAAAGCATTTGTTCAAGCAAAAGCTTAATCGCTCAATCACCTTGCTATTATTAGAAGCTTTGTTTTGTATTCTTGTCGATACTGTGAGTGATTTCCATTGGTTGGCTGTGCGTGCACAATATCAGCCATGATACATCGGAGCGTGCATGGCGTACGAACACTGAGATCAACTTTGTTAAAAAAAAGTGGTAAAAGGAGCAAAACAAACAAACAACAACAACAAGAATAAAACAAAAATCTAGCTCATAGAAACCTGAAATGTTGATTTCAGAATTGGATGATAATTCTTCAAGCAAAACATGACTCGATTCTCCGTCAAGTACTTCAATTTAGCGTTCTATTGAAAATTTCTTTGAAGGTAAATTGTCGATTGTTTTGTATTGTTTAGGCAATGGATACATCCACCATCGTCCTTTACCGTTTGTTCCAGTGACCACAGTTCTTGACGGATCTAAAATGGCGAACACTTACCCGGCAAATGCCTTCGCTCAAAGCGCCAATCCCTTCCCTCATATCGGTATGTTTGTATAACGCATGGAAGAAATCTGTTGAATCGTTCTTTTCTTTTCCGTTAAAAAGAGCATTGTTTATAGACTAGGGCCCCGTCCAAATTACGTCGAAGGAATTTGAAAACGGTTGTTTTTCTCTGAAAACGAATCAGATGTTTTCCTTCCACATTACGCCGGAGAAATTAGAAAACGCAACAATCACCGGTCATTTTGGATTTGTTTTTGCAAAAAAACTGGGGCAGGGACGTCATCGTTTTCAAAAAGCTCCGCTTTCAAAATGTTGTCCGTCCACATCCAGTGACCACAGTTCTTGACGGATCTAAAATGGCGAACACTTACCCGGCAAATGCCTTCGCTCAAAGCGTCAATCCCTTCCCACGTATCGGTATGTTTGTATAAAGCATGGGAGTAATCTGTTAAATCCTTTTTTTCTTCTTTCCTGTTAAAAACAGCATTGTTTATAGCCAGTAAGACAGCGTCCACATTAATCCGTCACGAAAACGGAGCTTTTCGAAAACGCTCTTCAAAAGTGGAGGATTTTGGAAACGCCCGCTTTTCGTTTTCGCGTGGACGGAAAACATTTTGAAAACGGAGATTTTCGAAAATAATGTAGTCAATTACAATAATGATTTGATTTTCTTTGCCTGAATTTTCCTCAAACACAAATCCAAAATGACCGGGTGATTGTTACATTTTTAACTGATGGTTTCTCCGGCGTAATGTGGACGGAAAATATTTAAATTGTTTTCAGAGTGAAACCTGCTTTTTCAAATTCCTCCGGCGTAGTGTGAACGGTGCCATAGACTAATTAACTTAAAGTTTAAAATGAAGACAACAACTTGGAAGTGTGACTCGTGAGGCAAAGTTTGCAGGGAGCTTGTAGTGGATGATGTTAACTGGAGTTTAACTTTATCAAAGAAGGAAACCATTTTTTTTTTTGGCCCGAATAGACTTACACACGCGGAGCGATCTATTAACTATTTTGAGGATCTTTTATCTAACTAAGCTTAATTAAAACCAGAACGATTTGGCTATATTGTCGAACTCGGATCTCACGATCTGACCACATACCTTCGTAAACCCACACAGAGCAGTTTTGTCCAGAAGTCGATAAGATTATTACAGACTTGTGAATTGTCAGATTTATCCTCATTGTCTTTTGGCTTCTACATGTCAATGAATGCCTGTTTCCTATGTTCCTTTGTTCCGTTATTTTACAGAACAACAGGGATTCTTGAGCAGGACTTTCAGAAAATGGTTTGGATACTAGTAAGTATTTTCATTCAAGTTCACTAGTAAGCCTTGGCGGATTACAACTTGTCTATTTATTTATTTATTTATTTATTTTACTTCAAATAAGGAATGGAAAACTTTTGGAACACACCAATCAAATGAAGGTTTTTAACACAAACCCACAATCTATCTCTCTTTGAAAAATGCCAATCAAACAATTAACGGCATGTAGGGAGTTCGTGTTCGACAAATCCGTGGTCACCATCTATCCTTAGTGATAAAAATATGCGTTTTGATTTTCAATTCAATAACATACTTTTGCCCTGGAATTTAATTGATCTACTGGTATGGGGAAAGATTTTAACAGTGATGTTCTTTTCTCTCCAGATCTGCTTTCTCGTTCACTCAAATTTAAATTTTTTTTAAAGTTTATTCTATTTATCATAAGTTTACTTTATTCAAGTTGATCTTAAATCAAGTTCATAATGTGTTTTATCCTTTTTGAATGATTGTAAACATCCCTGCCAAATAGCAATAATGATATAGCATGGATTTGAAAACATTTACTATTTTCAAATGATTAATTTTAAATATACTTGCCAAATATACCACCAAATATGATTGTAAATATTTATATAATGATTTTTTCTTTCAAAATAATTGTGATAACTGTATGTTGCCAAATGTTTTGATATGACAATTGCATATGATTGTAAATATCTTGGAAATACCACTGAGTTGTAAATAAGGTTACAAACATGATGTTTATATGCTGCGACATTCAAAGACGTTCTTTTCAAATCATTTTACGTTGTAAGTATTTATATACAACTGACTTTGCAAACTTAGCCGCCGATTCAGTCTAAAAATTGTTTCCGCTATATCGATATGTCCTGACTTTTCAGTTAAAGCCTTTCATGCCTGTTTCATTAAGTTAAGTGGTATTTGTTTGCAAACATGTTTGCAAACGTGTTTGCTTGCAGTTCCACGATTCTTATAGACACAGCTTTAACGTTTTCAGTTTTTTGCAAGTACCGTAAAATTCCGATTACAAGAACCCACCCACCCTTCCCCGATTATTCTACAGACACAAGCTCTATTACCAATATGAATTCCTCTAATAGTACCCACGTAACCGCTCACAAAAAAGTAGGGGAGGGGAGGGGGGAGGGGA